GGGAGTTCGTCGGACCTAATCGGTCATAAGTGCTTAACCAAGCTCAAGTACAGGCCCGAGAGTATACAACCTATCTCCCATCCTCTAGTAGGATTTGGAGGTGGAGTCGTCCATCCGATTGGTCAGGTTGACTTACCCGTCCGTCTAGGTGAGAAAGGTGAGGGCCGCCACATGGTCATTTGTTTTTTGGTTGTGGAAGAGCTTACTGCATACAACATGATCCTTGGGCACCCCACCCTTAATGAATCTAAAGCGGTTATCATTCCATCCCTTATGTTGCTCAAGTTTGAGAAGGATGACAAGACAGTCGATTCCATAAGAGGGGACCAAAGAATGGTCAGAGAATGTTACCTCACTGACATCAAAACAACGGTAACTTCAGACGGCCCCACTGGCAAGGGCATAGAAGAAGCGCCTGCCCAAGAGGCAGGCGGCAGGAAGAGAAAAGCCTCCGAGACGGAGATCAAGAAAAAGCATAAACAATAGAAATCACTGGCTGAGGAGCGGCCGGATGAATTCCGCCCTCAGCCAGCTGGGGAGCACGTAGATGTCGCCCTCGATGACAGTCGTCCTAACCGAACTGTTAAGGTAGGGACGACTTCTTTGACTGAACTTGGTGATGATCTTCGCCAACTATTAAAAGATTTCCAGGACATTTTTGCATTTGAAGTACATGAGATGCCAGGAATTAGTCCAGACCTGGCGGTACACAAACTAGCTATTGACCCAAAAAAGAAACCGGTACGACAGAAGAAAAGGCATCATGGTGAAGAAAGAAACCAGGCGGCCGCCGCCGAGGTAAAGAAGTTGCTTGATGCAGGATACATCCGGCATTGTTTCTACCCAGAATGGGTTGCAAATGTAGTGCTAGTCAAAAAGTCGAATGGTTCCTGGCGTATGTGTGTGGACTACACTGATTTGAACAAGGCATGTCCGAAAGACAGCTATCCTTTGCCAAAGATCGACAGCTTGGTCGACTCAACAGCCGGACATGCCTTGATGAGCTTCATGGACGCCTACTCAGGCTTTCACCAGATCCCTCTGTGGAAAAAAGATCAGGATAAGACTGCCTTTGTCACAGAGTAGGGACTCTATTGTTATACGGTCATGCCGTTTGGTTTGAAGAACGCCCCGGCAACCTTCCAAAGAATGATAAACACTGTGTTTTTTGAACAAATTGGAAGAAATGTGGAGGCGTACATTGATGATATGATTGTAAAGTCAAAACTCTAAATAGACCATCTGGCCGACCTCCGAGAAACCTTCGCCACACTCAGGCGGCACCGAGTCATGCTTAATCCAAAAAAGTGTGTCTTTGGAGTTGAGTCTGGGAAGTTTCTCGGATTTCTGATAAATCAAAGGGGAATAGAGGCAAATCCTGACAAGGTACAGGCGGTCATAGACATGCAGTCGCCTCGTACCGTCCGAGAGGTACAACGGCTAACAGGCTGCCTCGCAGCTCTCGGAGGGTTTCTCAGTCGGGCAGGCGACAAGTGCCTCTACTTTTTCCAGGCAATAAGAAAGAAAGTAAAATTTGAATGAGGGTCAGATGCTGAGTCGGCCTTCCAGAATTTGAAAGAACACCTGCACTCCCCGCCGAGGCTAGTTAGCCCCTTTCCAAAAGAAGTACTTACATGTATCTCGCAGTATCAGATCATGCCTTAAGTGTCGTCCTCTTAGCTGAAAGAGACGGCTGCCAACTCCCAGTCTACTTTGTCAGTCATGTCTTGAAGAATGCAGAGTTAAGGTACCCACTGGTGGAGAAATTTGGACTCGCCCTCTACATGGCAGTAAAGAAATTGAAGCCTTATTTCCTGGCACATCCGGTGGTCATATACACGGACCAGCCAATCAAACGGCCCCTGACGACCATGGAGTCGTCAGGACAAATGATCAAGTGGGCGATTGAGATCCAGAGCCTCGAGGTCACGTTTGAGCCAAGAAAAGCTGTGAAGGGGCAAGCCTTTGCTGACTTTATAGTTGAAATGACCCGGCCACCAGATTGTGAGGAAATTGATCAACTCTGGAAAGTCTATGTGGATGGGAGTTCCACAGCGAATGGCTGTGGGGCAGGTATTGTATGTCAATCGCCAGAGGGCGACAGGTATGAATATGCGCTTCGCTTCAAGTTTTAGGCATCAAACAACGAAGCCGAGTATGAAGCCCTTTTGGCTGGTATCCGCATGTGCAAAGCAGCCGGGGCAAAAAGGATAGCCGCTTGTTCAGATTCACAACTCATAGTCAGCCAGTACAATGGGGATTATGAAGCGACTCATCCGGCTATGGTTAAGTACCTAGAGGCAGTGAAACAGGCGGCAAGCTCGCTTGAAGATTTCCAGTTGACTCAGGTCCCAAGGTCCGAGAATAACCAGGTGGACGCCTTGTCCAAGCTGGCATCCTCGGCCTCATGCGACACCCCTAGAACTGTATTTTAGGAGGTAATGGAAAAACAGAGTATTGAGGAAAACAACATTGCAATCCTTGATATAAGTTCAACATGGATGGATGCCATTCGAGCCTACTTAACAGACGACATTTTGTCGGCTGATCACTATCAGGCGGTCCTAGTAAAGAAGCGGGCAACCAGTTTTGAAATGCACAAAGGAGAACTTTTCAAGAGAGGTCGCTTGCAACCTTTCCTGAAATGTGTTACCCCTGAGAGGGGTTGAGAGGTCCTAGAAGACCTACACTCTGGATATTGCACCTCTCACATAGGCGGTAGGTCGCTTGCTTAGAAAGTGAGGCGGCAAGGGTACTTCTGGCCGACTCTGGAGGCAGACGCCATGGATCTGGTTAAAATGTGTGACAAGTGCCAAAGGTTTGGCAAGTTAATTCATCATCCAGCTACAGATCTAACGGCTATCCACAGCCCAGTTCCATTTGCTAAGTGGGGCATGGATATTTTAGGACCCTATACGCCTGCATCAGGCGGAAGGAGATATATTCTGGTAGCAGTTGACTAATTCACTAAGTGGGTGGAGGCCGAGGCAGTCAGAGGCATCAAGACCAAGGATGTAATCTCCTTCATTTGGAGAAATGTGATCACTCATTTTGGAGTTCCTATGTCCATGGTTTTTGACAATGGTCCCCAGTTTGAGACGCCTGTTCTCAAAAATTGGTTGAGAGATCAAGGCATTGCCTACTGCTTTGCATCAGTCGGACGGCCGCAAGCAAACGGCCAGGTTGAGGCATTCAACAAAATCATCTCAGACGGTATAAAGAAGAAGATTGAAAAAGCAGACGGCCTATGGGAAGACGAACTATCACATGTTCTCTGGTCCATAAGGACGGCTGAAAAGGGAGCGACTGGAGAAACACAATACCTCCTAACATATGGGGCAGAAGCTGTCCTACCCATTGAGCACTATGAGCCGACCTTCCAAGTTATGCTGTATGATGAAGATGCAAATTGGGAAGCAATGCGACTGGCATTGGATTCTCTCCCTGAACGTAGGGGCAATGCTGCCCTACGACACGAAATATACCGCTTGAGAATGACTCGAGTCTATAACAGAAGAGTACACAGGCGCCCACTTAAAGTGGGGGACTTTGTACTAAGAAAGATGGAGTCAGTCGGCAGGGCCAACGAGTCAGGGAAACTAACTCCTAACTGGGAAGGGCCCTACCGAATCTATGAGGAAGTCAGGGACGACACCTATTGTTTGGAAACTCCAGAGGCCGACCCCTGCCTAGGACTTGGAATGTAGATAATTTAAAAAAATATTACTTTTGATGTAATTTTTTAAAGTTATTAATGAAATTTCCAAGACTGCCTTTTTTCATTATATTTATGTTTAAACTGTATTCCTCCTGTCCCAAGACAGGCGGATACCCTCCAAATTGTACCTAAAAAGAGGTACGCCTGTTTTCCCATTATACGGCTACCTCCTTTTATCAAGCCCGTCACCAAGCCGCTTGATTACATTAAATTCTTAAAACTAATACGACTTGTCCTAGTAAATAGCAGGCGTCCGACGACATGCCATTTGGATGATATTCGTCGCAGAGAGCAGGTCCCATTTGGGTGAAATAATGCTCTATAAACTAATTACACGGTCTCTATACGGCTGTCACCTAGACAACGTACCCGTTTTTGAGACAAAGATAACTCAACACTTTCTCAGCAAAGTGTCAGCAGTTGACATCTGCGTCGGATAACCGCCTGTATTACTTGGGATAGATACAGGGGGCATTTCTTGAGTTAATAAGTCAACCAAAATTGACGAATCAAAGGGAACATTCGGCCTCCGCCGAGTGATACCTCTACTACTCAAGCTCAGTAGCGACAGCGATTGATTAGCCCTTAGGCTAACTCATAGTCGCTCTCTTACACTTAGTCTGAAATTTTTAAACTAAGACTAAGTCAAACAATACTTAATAAATCAAGGAAACCTCTTGGTATGCGCCGAATGATTTCTAAGCCGTCTGGTAACCTATGAGAATTACCAGTCGTTCAGGGAAATGTTCTACTCAATTTCAAAATCAATCCAAGCAATATACAACAGTCACAGAGCTAGCCGACTGTTCTCTAAGAACTAGGCAGCCTGAAATGCATTCTCAGTTGGTTGTTTCAGTCGGTGCCTAACCACTACGACTAAATTTGGTTATGCCTGCTACTTGGATCCGATTGTCTATGGCCGACTGGTTACCCTTTGTTCAAAAAAGTACACCAGTCGTCCAGGGGCAAGTGCATTCGGCATCATGATTCGGCAGTCTAGCTAAAGAAGTTCAACATGGATACGACATACAAGCGGCTAACAAGTCACGTCATACTTGGCAAAAATTTTAGCAAAAACAACAAAAGATTGAATAGATAACAGCATATGTAACAAAAGACGACCTAACAGTCGCCACATCAATTAAAAGCCAGACAAAGCTGGCAAAGTTAAGTTAAAGCCAGAAAAGCTGGCAAAAAATATTCATAAGCCCCGGCCCCCTGGCCGGGTAAAGATACAAAAGTTACGGAACACAGGTCGGATCAAGTTTGAAGATATAAAAGCTTAAACAGTTGGCGGGACCTCGCCTTCAGCAACCGCCTTCTCTTGCTGGGGAGGGGACACTTGATTGCTCTGAACAGTTTCTTGCTCCTGTTCAGGCGCCTTTTTTGAAGATTCCCCTTCAGCCTCAGCAGCCACCACCTCCTCCTTAGAAGAAGAAAAAGACTCAGACTCCTCCTGGTCATCGCCTCGTCCCATGACCGCCTCGTCATGCTCTCGAGTGCAGGCGGTAAACTGGCTCCCCCATGTTGAGTAGTCGGTATTTGGATAGAGGCGGGCCCAGGTCATTTTCATGATGGCACTACAGTCTTCCATCATGTCGGCGACCAGGTCTTTCTTCTTCTCTTCAAACCTCGACTTATATTTTTGGGCTAGCTGCTTTTCTTGGTTGGCCAGGCGCTGCTTCAGGCGGGCGTTGCTGGTTTTCAGATCCCCCTCCGCCTTCATAGCCTCGTCATGGGCGTCAACCTTCCCCTGGTTCTCGGAGACTTTGAGCTTAAGCTCCTTTATCTTTTCTTTGGCCGCCTCCAAGTCGTCCTTGACTTGCTGATTCGCAGCCGCCTGTGCAAGTAATATGTCATTCATCAAGACTTCTGTTTAGGGTAAAAATACCCTATGCCGGATGGCCTAGTAGAATCATGACACGTGGCAGCCCACCAAAGGCCCAACGGGATCCAATCGGATGCTTCCACGTGGCATCAAAACCCTAATCAGGGAACATGTCTCCCCCACTATAAATAGAGGAATCCTCCTCATTTATTGGGCATTCAAAAAAAATCATAAATTCATACACAATACCCGAGCAATACTAATTGCAGAATCTCTCTGAATCAGTGAGAAAAACCTATTTACCTTCCGCACATTTACCCATCCGTAAATCATACTAACTTGATCATCGGAAGCGGAACTCCACCCAACCGGAGTTTCGTGGTTTTGCAGGTACAGAAGTCAGGCGCGCATACTCCGTATTGTAACTCTCTTGAGGGACTAAAAACACTCGAAACAACTTCATTTTGAAAAATAGAAAACATGGCCTTGTCCATGGCGGAGGCGGCGTGCTCTTTGGCAAATTTTACCTCTTTGTTCTTTTCCTGGATGGGTCGACAGAGACCGTGCACTCGCAGCATCGACTGATTAATGACAAACAAATACAGTCGGTTAGCAAAACAACCGACTTTCAAAGAAAAAGAAGTTGTAAAAAATTGAAGGATATCTCGGCTAGCAGGGCGAGGATGCCCTCCAGATTGAGGGTGCCGAACCCCCTCACCGTTTCCTTGTCTTGGGAGGAAACGGCCTGCAGCATGCTCTTGGCCATCGCAGAAATATCTGGCCGAGCAGGAGAACTGCCTGTTAAAAGGTGGATGATTAGTTAACGACTGATCAAGGAAGACAAGCTTTGAAGGAAGTAAGGAAAACAAAGTTACCATCAGACGCCTTCTCCTTGTTCTTCTCTTGAGGCCGTCTGTCCCTTTCCTATTGCAGCTTGGCCTTCTCCTTATATTTCTCTAAGGGGAGGTTGGCGGCAGGGAACGATCCAGGCTTGGCCGCCACATGTTTTCTGGAACAGGAAGGGGTGTTGGCGTCCCCAGCTGACTACTTCCTGACCTTGTCAGGAGGCGGCTGAGGTGTCGATGGGTCTTGCAAAAAAACAACACAGGCGGTAAAAATGATTCACCGAAAAACAAAAGACAAGGAGATTGGATTCAATCATAAAAGTCTTACCCCAGCCGACTGATTGGCTGGTGACTCCTCGGTTGGGCGCTTGCCGAAAACCGCCAAGCGGTACTGTGCTGCCGCTCTTTTTGAAGCTGTGACCTTCTCCATTGCTTCAGCTGCATAAAAAAATCGATTTAGAAAAATCAACAAGTGACAAAGTCAATACGAAAAACAGGCGGATAGCTACCTTCAGGCATTTCGGTACTAAGCCCACTGGCGGCCAAGTACGTCCCATCATACAACCAATTGTATTTGGGAACATATTTTTGGGGAACAAAAACCTATTTCCTAGATTCAGGGTCCGCCTGAATATCAACCTTAAACAAGCCGACGTCTAGGATTTCGCGCTTGGCCTTAGAAGGAACAGGCGGCAGGTCTTTGCCGGCTAAGAAAGGTGGATCCCTATTCCACCTGTTGTACTTGGCATTTTTGGCCTTGTCAGGGAAAGTGATGATGTAGAAGGTGGTCCGCCAGTCCTTCCACTTGTTCTCCTTACCCTGTGCCATGCATCCTACACCCGGCTACATAGCCGAGTATGTTAAACCAAGAATTAGGGGCCAGTTTCCACAGCCTAATCTGGTATCCGTCCAAAATGGCCTCGACGGCCGGGTGAAGAGGAAATCGAAGGCCGGCTTTAATAGCCGCCTCGTAACAACCAAAGCACTGGTCCTCATAGCTGAAACCAGGCGGCCAAACTACAGTATCCTCTCTATCGGGGACCGACACTCTCCAAATCTCTTCGTCATAACCTTCCGCCTTCCTTCAGGCACATGATGGAAATAAGGGGCGTAGAAGTCTCGGTGGGAAGCCATGGACTCGGCCCAGTCCTCCCCCATTTTCACACTCAAAGACTCTCTAGCTGTGTGAATTCTAGAGTACAGCTCTTCAGAGTCTAAAGAGTTCTGGCTCTCATTACTTGTGTCCGACTCGTCACTAGAGTCGGACGAATCGTTTGGCTTAGAAGGTCCAGCAGGAGCCGCCTCTGCCTCAGAGGACGACTCCACTGAATTATTTACAGCAGGAGCCGCCTCTTCCTCAGAGGACGACTCCCCAGAATCATTTAAATAAGGGTCTCCAGGAGTGCTTGGGGTACCGGATCTATGTTCAAGAAGGTCATAATGTGTATAAGAGCCGTCTGAATTAGTTACTCGGGCATTTCTCTTGACTCTTGCCATGGTGTCCTGCACAGACATGGAAACAGTCGGACGCTGTGCAAAGGACAGGGGTGGTTCTAGAAAGGTGGAGTCGGCACTCCTAGTCCTAGATTCAGCCGTCCCCGGTGACCGACTGATCAACAACCTAGGTCGTGCCGAGTGCCTTTGAGACACCATACTTTGTAAAATAAAAGAGGAAAAAGATTCAAAGAGTGGATGTTTACCTGAAGTTGAAAGTTGAAGTAGACCGAAAGTAGGCGTCCGAAAAGAAAGAAAGCGACGGGGTACGACTGCTCCGTAAAAGCGCAAAAATAGCTGGGATCCGAAAGATCTCTTTTCAGAAGCAATGTGAACAAATGTGAACAAATGACTTGTTGACCAGCCTTATTTATAGGGGAAGATAAGGACGGATGGGGTGTTCACGCGAACGTACCTTGAATATATATGATCTCAAAATTGTCACGACTAAATAAAATCACTCACTTGAAAACCTCCTACAAATAAAAATTACAAAGAGGAATTAATACATGTTCCACACAAATTTCCAGCAATATATACACTCATTAAATCACTCATAAACCCTCTAAAATAAGCTGAATTTTTTTTAAAACCCTTACTTTTATCCTCAATTAATGGGTAATTAAAAATCCTTTCAAGAAACATAATTATAATCATTATATAAAAATTTCAGCTTTATTAAATCATGAAATTTTTTTGTAATTATGTTTAAAAATATCTAATTTAATAGTTTCAATCACTTACAATCAATTTCCATCAATACACATTAATTTAGAAACCCAGGGTTTTCAATTTATGGCTTTTTAATTCAAAACCAAATCTGAAAATTTATATATATCATACCTATTATTAAACATCATAAAAATCATCACAAACCCAAAAACAATAATTAGATTTAGGGTAAATTTAATTAAAAATCAAAATAATAATTTTTTTAAGGTGTGCGCACAGCACCACCGCAGCAAGGCTGCTGCTGCGCCTGCCGGTCGGTGCTGTTGCTGCTGACGCACGCTGGTGGTGGCTGTGGTGGTGGTCGGTCGGTGTTGGTGTGTGTGGGTGGTGATTGAAACAAAAATAAAAATAAAGGGGAGGGAAAAAATTAAGGGAAGAAGAAAATAAGAGGAAAGATAATTTACCTTTGGGTAAAGTTTGATTTTTGCTCATATGATGGGTATTTATACCCCCTCTCAATAATCCTCCTACTTAAAATTCCCTTACTACCCTTAATGATCTCTTTCCTAATCAAACTAGTATTTTGACTTTCTTTAAAAACTTGTTGACTTTAAAATTTCCTTTTATAAAATGATATGCCCCAAAGTTTCCAAATAATGAAATAAAATATTTTCAAAATTGTAAATAATTAAAAATAAACTTTTAATTAAAATAATTTTTTTAAAATTAATGAAACACCATAAATAATTCATTTCGAATTATTTAAATACTTTACAAAATACTTATTTAAGTTAAAATACGTATAAAAATACAGGGTATTATACTTATCAATACCAAAAAGCAGGCCAAAATCATTTTCACATTGAGCAAGCGTTGAAACAAGCTTGAAGCTATAAGACATGTGCACACAATTCAGTTTTAGAAAATATGCTCATGATTTCAATAAAATGGTCCCGGAACCACTATTTTTATCTAACACTCTGATACGAACTGAAGCGACTCCGCAAGTTGAATAACTTCTCCAACTTCGTATTTAGTCTTTTTCACATAAGAATCATGCACTTCAATTTCATCTTTCATCACATCGATATTTTTTTGTGGTGCAACTCCCTTGTCATAGAGGTCAAGTCACTCCTCTATTTGTTCACGTATCTTTTCACCAAAAACTGGATCGACAAAAGAAATATTAATTGTAAGCAGAGAAAATAAGTTGCAACCAAAACATGAGAAACAGTCTATACGAGAGGCAATAGAGCACTTGTTTACAAGATATCGAGCCATCCTCCGCTTATTACGAGAAGATGCACAACCAATAAAAGATGAATGAAATATCATACCATGTTTTGGTGTGTTTCTTTGTGTTTTTAGGATCAAAATACCATGCTGACTGAGATATTTTGTTGATTTATTTACATAAATGTCACTGAATAAATGATTTTTGTTTATCACGATAATTAACTTGGACTCACTCAGAAACCCAAAAAAATGACATGGGCAAGTAAGAGTCCTACTAGTCGCATAGTCCCTATATGAATTTTTTGCATATAGGAGGGCAAAAGTGAAAAAGCGTTGTGGTTTGACATCGAGAATGATACTTTTTATAGTTCTAGTGGTACATTATTTGTACTACTCCCTCTGTCCCTTATTTTTTGCCCCATTTGACTTTTCACGGTTTTCAAGACATGTCTTCAAACGCATATCTCCATTTCTATACGCGTAAAAATTATAAAAATTTGATATTAATAAACTATACAATGAGACAATTCTAACAAGATCTCACATGAATATATTATTAATAATAAATCAATGAGAATTCATGGTCAAAGTTTTAAAAGTTTGACCCATATTTTTACAATGGGGCAAAAATTGAGGGAAAGAGGGAGTATTATGCATGTATATTGTACCATTATATTTTAGTAGTACTATTATATCTCACAATAGTATAATATTTTGATGTACCATTTACATACTTATTTGTACTATTAGAATAATATTTATACCACAACTTTTTTTTTTGAAACAAATCAATTTATTAATAAAAAGTCATCCGACATCTACAAATGAAATCTAAATTAACAAATACATAAAATTGAATCAAATTAGGGTTTCCTTCATCAAAGCTACGATCGTTGAAAAGATCTTGCACTGTGGTACATCTCTCGCACACATCGCTGGAATATACAGCCTTTTCGGAGAGACGGTCTAACGATTTGTTGTAGCCGTAAGGATAATTTCCATCTGATTCGTTTGAACGCATTTGAAAACTTCACAACCGTTGCGATCCCGAACCAATCTTTACCAACGAACTGACAATAGGGCAAAAGATGATTACCTTTTGATAAACCCTAACACACAAACAAACCCTAAAACAAACAATTAAACTAACAAAAACTAACGACTCCACCACAGGGAGACACTCCACCATAGGGAGATGGACGAATATCTACACTACTCGTGTAGATTTATTGAAATCTAAATTGCAAAACTAAAGAAAATTAAGGGAAAAGGGTCAGCCTAAACGACTAAGATCTTGGAGTAACCCTAAAGGAGAGGAAGAGAGAAGAAAAGAGGAGAGGCGAGATTTTTTTTAAAACTTAACTACAAGTTTATACCACAACATTTAATGGTACTTTATACTCCCAGTACAACTTCAACTTTATTACTACATTGCATATAGGACCTATGCGTCAGACCTTCTCCGGCCAGTAATGAAGCAACTTGAGCTGGCACTATAGCACTGGCAGGTTACACCTTCGATGCTAAGACAAGAACCTTCGAACATTGTCACGTTTCTCTTTTTCATTTAATTTAGACATTTACCTTTTTTAGCACCTACTCCAAACTTCACTTCCTGATTCTATTCATTTTCACAGCCAACCAATCGACAGCCTGCCTCACACCTTCTACTCAGTCGCAGTCACACCCCTCTTTCTCTCTCCTCCACTACGCCACAACCATGTCAGTCTGCTGCTGCGGCGTCGAATGCGTCGTAATCATTGGCTTTTCCAGATGGCTTGGAAGCGCTGCACATACGTCGGCTCCAATGACAGCGCTGCATGGCCATCTGCAACCCCAGATGAATTCGAGGCAGTTCCCCGCCTTTGCCGTGTCATCCTCGCCGTTTACGAACCAGACATCCGTAATCCCCAGTTCGCCCCACCTGGTGGGTATCGACTCAACCCAGATTGGCAGTTATAAAGCGAGTAACGTATGAGCAAACTGAAGGCCGTGCTCCGCCTTACATTATCTATGCTGACCACCAGCACCGTGAGATCGTGCTCGCTATTCGCGGGCTTAATCTGATTAAAGAGTCGGATTATAAGCTACTGCTTGATAATCGGCTTGGAATGCAGATGTTTGATGGTGGGTATGTGTATCATGGGTTGTTGAAATCGGCGATTTGGTTGCTCAATAGGGAGTCAGAGACGCTGAAGAAACTGTGGGTGGATAATGGAAGGTGTTATAAGATGGTTTTTGTTGGGCATTCTTTAGGGTCTGGTGTTGCTGCTTTGTTGGCTGTTGTTGTTGTGAATCATGGTCATAAACTTGGGGGGATTCCGCGGAATCTTGTTACTTGTTATTCGATTGCTCCTGCGAGGTGTATGTCGCTTAATCTTGCTGTTAAGTATGCTGATGTTATTCACTCTGTCATACTTCAGGTCAGTACTATGATAAGATCTTGTAATTTCATTACTTTGACTTATTTTTGCTGTTACTTTGAAGATGTTGAATTTATTGGTAATAATTGTTTCGGAATTTTCGTTTGATACCCGTGTTGGATCATTGATACTTATGGGTGTTGAATTTTTTGACTGAGTTTAATTAGGGAAGGGATTCTGTCATATATCAGTGTCTAGTGTCTGTTAGCAAGTACTTGTCAAAAACACATAAATCAGAGATTATGGTAATTAGGATAGGGATCATTCTTCAGAAATTGTGCTTTATGTCTGATAATAATGGTAAATTGGGCTAATCTATATAGCTCAATTGTTGCTACTCGGACCCTTCATTAACCTCAAGTGTGGTGTAGGATAGCCAATACTCAAGACATGAGTATGAATTGATAATCCATTTTGTACTAATTACATGGAAACCTTTCTTCAAACAGCCGAGTATGAGTAACATAAGGGGTGATTATAGATCTAATTAGTAATGGACTAATGGTATGGTATGAGTAACTAACCGTTGACATTGATGGGAAAGGTCAATCTAAATGATTTGATAACGAAACCTTTAGGACTAGTGTTGTTATTGTTCTTCATATTAGTTGGTCTAGTAACTCAACCACATTCAAGCAACCTGGGTCAAGTGGAAGCCCTTCTACTCTTCCC